ACATTAGGTTAGTGAGCTCTAAACAGTGATGCCATGTTTCCTCCTTCTCTTGTTGTACCTTTACTTTTGTAGAGCCTTTGGGATATGCCCTTTCAGAACTAATTGTTGTAGTAGCACTGCTCCCTAGATACCCGTCTGGAAATAATGTAATTGATTTAGCACCACATATTGCAACTCAGCTTCGCAAAAGCAGTTCTAGACGCATGATTTCTACTAGACCAAACTGACCATATTCCGCAAATACCAAAGCAGGATTGGCGGGAGGGGGTCGCGGAATGGTGCAAGAGAGAAGACCATGTTATATAGCTCAAACCAAACATTTTGCTTTTATTCGTGCAGGTGCTTTAGCCTTGGAGTGATTGTGCGTAGTGTACGCAAAAGCTCGGGTGCAAGCATGTGCCACACGAATTGAACAATCCCCAATAACTAGCAGAGCGAGTGCAAGATAAAACAAGGACATCAGAAGGAGATGAAGGATCGAAGATTGAAGAAGTGTGGTGGAGAGGGAGGTTGAAGCTTGGGGTGGGAGAGAGTAAAGCCTATGTAAAAAAATAAGGAGTTTTAAAAGAACGACTCAGGAAGGAGGAGACAGGCTCGATGAAGTGGAGAGCTGGGATTCAAGCCCTTGCACGCACGTTCTGCAGTCAAATGGCGTAACAACTCAGCTACCCAGGTGCGATAGCTGAAGATGCATTTATGGGATCAATAAGATTGCATCGCAAAAGGCGAGAAAACAAGAAAACAATACAGAAGGAAAAATGAACACAATGAAAGAGAAAGAGATACCACGCAGAGAGAGACAATTACAGAAAAAATTAGGTAGAAAGAAAAAGAAAGGAAGTAGATCATTGCCATGTATAGTGCAGTATAGCAAAGAGATGTGCTACCAGGGCTAGCAGACAGCAATGGCAAGCCGGATTTCGGTCTAAAACGAGACAAAAAAGCGTCACAAAGGTAAGTTGGTGGGGCAGCGGGACACTAGGCGAAAAACCGGGACATTTACTGCCAAACCGGCATGTCTGGTTACTTTATACTAGACAGGCATATCCTAAACGCTATGTCACCATTGAAACGTTACTTTTGCACACAGTACGATCGTGTACACAATCGTGTACAATAATTGTATCACAGTAGAATCGGTGGTTACTCCTGGGGCAACCGTGAGTATACAGTATGAACGCTAGTTTTAAGCTACATTTCAGGGCTCGACAGAACGTTGGTGTGTACACGTTACTGTGGGATGCTTACATGTCCTTTAAAACGCATGATGCGTTCAAAACGCATGCACTAAATACGCACGTACGATGACAATAAACGGAAGTCTTTTAGTCAGTGAATGCATACGTACCGGCCGACAAAAAAGTCGCTCGTTTCCTTCTATCTTGTGCGTCCACAGCGAAAACTGATATATCAGACTAACCTCTTTCGACGGTGACGTAGGCAATGCAATGAGTTCTGTGGCGTGCTTCTTTACAACTGAGAAACAAGGATGTGGCACCCCGCAGTGCACGGGAGGCGTTAGCACTTCACCCTCCTGACGTGCGCCGTATGCGCGATTAGTTGCCTGCCTGTTATTCCAGTCTACTCCCACAGGCTCTTAAAACAAAGTGAACATGAAGGTCAAGGTGAGCAAAACGAAAGGTGATGCGTTTGTATAGAGGGATTGGTGGCGTGAAAAACGTATACGAATGCAACAACGGCTCTTGCGCCATTGCCCAATTTCATGAAAGCGTTCGTCACAGCCACGTGTTCGGGAGAAATTAGGGCTCAGAATCAGCAGTCGCTGAACACTACTTTATATCCCACGCACGCGCGGTCCCGATCGCACAGAGTTACCCTGCATGCGCAATTCTGAGAGTCTGAGCCAACGTACAGGTACTAAGTTGCACGAAACGTTTCACTCGAGAAACCACCAAGCCAGTACCAGAGTCTGCCACTGGCTTCACAGTAGAAGGCACACGTTGGATGTGTGTGTGTGGGGGGGGGGGGGCGGGTACTTCGCTGCAGCAGCTAAGACTCTGACAAATGTCACGTAATCCCATATCGCGAAGTCTGGTCGCTCGTTTCTCTTCTAGTGCCCACTCCAAAAGATGAGTCGCGTTGTACGAGTGATGGCTTTTCCAATCTGCAACAGGTTTGTTGCGGTATGTGACCATGGAGAGAAGGCAGAGAATCGGCTAAGGGTAAATCTATGCGAATCTGATAGACTGTGTATACGCAGTTCTTTTACTCAAAGTGTTTCTCATGGGGACGCAGCCCTGAATATACCTCATCGGTGAGAATAAGAAATACATTTTGAACGTAATACTGAAGGTCCACATAGTGTCCTGCTAACCAGACAAACAATACTGGTCACATTAGTGCGAAATGCAAAGTCACTGCGTTTGTAGAGGTGCTCCATCAGATTTATTAAAAATAAATGTTGGGATTTTACATCCGAAAACGGCGATGCGGTTATGAAAGACGCCGTAGGGGTGGGCTCCGGAAATTTCAACCACCTGGGGTTATTTAACGCGCACCTCGCTCTGAGTGCACCGGCCTAAAGCATTTTCACCTAGTTATTTCATGTACGCTATAAATTTTCTTTTATTCGAACGTATAAATTTGTCAAGAAAGTACGCTATAAATGTTCTTTTATTCGAACGTATAAATTGGTCAAAAAGTACACAACCCCTATTGGTCACTTACTGGGATATTGAGGAGGAATACTAAGCTATAAATTATAGAAATGAAGGCAATATCACTAGTGTAGTCTTTTTCACATACGTTGGAAGGTGTATGCTTGGAAAGAGAGGTACGAATGTCAGAAAAGCGTGGCTACCTGGTTGACGGGTGAACTAATGTCGAAAGAGACGGATGAGATCACTTGCTTACCACTGGACAAGAGTGGACACGATGGAGAAGGGGTTACTATTTTGTTATCTCTCATTACATTTCTTCGCCTCGCTGCCTGCGCACTCTAGCACTAAAAACGCAACTTAGAATGTATAGTAGTTACTGTGATGTAGAAAGCAATGACGTGCATTGTTCATTTGCAAATTACAAGCGCCTATTAGATGGGCCTATTCAATCAACATGCTGGTTTTGACAAAGCGTAAACCTCACTTTTCTGATTGGTGATTGTAACGTGTGTTTGCTGATTTAACAAAATGTTTCTTTTGGTTCATATGATGGGAAAAAAGCTATGTTTAAAATTTCGAACCAAACTTTAAAGTTTCTATCGTAAGTTATTTTTCTAGTTGGCCGACATGGTTCGCTAATGACATGTTCACAATAAGAATTGAAAAAATCTTTCTCTTAAGAACGATTTCTGAGTGAGAGGTTTCGACGCGACAGCGTTAAAGAACTCGTTTCACAGAAATTTTGGCTTTGGCGTCGTTGGTTTTGAGCTGAAAATTATCATCTTATGCCCGACTGAAAAATTGAGAATGATGCAAAAAAGATATGATTAAAGATTTCTGCGTCAGAGTGGGGACTGAACCAGGGTTGTTTGGGCCCGAGTGAGGATCAAACCCGGGGTGATCGCGTGCCAAGCGGATGTTCTACCACACGGCCACGCGTCTGCTTGTGAGCACTGCGAAATGCAGTGAAAGTTGCTTTCATGTGTTACAAACACACGCATTCTGATGTGGAAATATATGAGCGCACAATGTAGAAGGAAATGCTCTTGACAGGAAAGACGCTGTATATACGCATTCTGTATACATGCTTCGAAATGCAACATAAAATATTGCAGTAATAATACGTGGTACAAATACGCATTGTAAGTGGGCGTCGAAACATATGCGATTGTCGTGTTGGCTTCATGGTTCAAAGCTGGTCCCACATTACAAAAGGCACACACTGCTACGCCTATTCTTTCAAAGCCACGTAGTGGGTGCATCGCAAGTTCGAAAAGGTTTCATGCACTAAGTGTTTGAATTAAGCACAAGGAGCAAGATGTCACTACTGCGTTCACCTCCTGACGATGAAGCTTTAGGGTCCCAGAATTTTGTTGATATGAGCCCAGATAGGGGGCTAGCTATATGTAATGCTATAGCGTGGTGTACGGTGTCGGCGTCGTTGGTTGTGAGCGAGAAATCGGTCGTGACTGGAAAATCGAAAAATGTGGAAAAAAATAATAAAAATGTTCACACCTGAATGAGGATTGAACCCGTGCCGTATGCGTGGCTAAAAGGTGTTCTACATAAAAGAAACAGTAACTATTGAAACTATCTATGAATGTCATGTAGTAGGAGTCTCCTTAACGCATGATGTACTTTGTGGCAGGAGCGTGGAGTAGCACTAGGTGGCAAAACGTGTGAATTTCGTCTCAAGTGGGTGTTTCAAAGGCCCACTCTTTAAAAAAAACACAGACATATTTAATCATCATCAGCAGCAGAAGCATCAAAAAATAGAACAGCTGCTTAGGTTGGACGCGTATTGGGCCGCTCGTTGATTCGTAAAAGAAATAATTGCGGCGTAGTGGTCTCCTAACAGATGTTCTTATAGTAGGCATTCAAGCGTACTTTGCCACGGCCACAGATGCGCGCATATAGCGGTTCGTTTCCTTACGGCACGGTTCAGGCATGCACCGAGAACCAAACCAGCAATTGAAAAGGCGATGCGCATGAAGCCAAACTACGCTATCGCGTTGTGCTCTCGAAGGCGAAGCTCAAGCGTCCTGCAAGTTTTTTCGAGCCGCTTTTTGTGACGTTGTAGGTTGTTATGCACTCAATGTCCTGCCATAGTTTTTAGATGTTATTGATGTAACTATACCTTTAAAAATTTTTGAACGTTACATTTTCCTCACTTCCTTTACACGAACAATAATTTTAAGCTAACGCTGCTGAATTACACGTGTTTATAAAAATACTAAAAAAGACAAGTAGACAGCTGTTTCTTCCACAAAAATGATTGGCGTGAGCTTGGTGTGATGAACGGTAGAGCGCAGTGCAGCCTGCGTATCGATAGGTCTTTAGTTGCTTGTACACTTGAGCCCTGAAAATGACAGAGATGACTGATACTGACAATATAAGAGCTTTATTTCAGGTTACCATACTTTACAATTTATTTTACAAGTGAGCGTAAAGGTTCGTGTGGTGAAGCACTCTCAGTGCCATGTTGGAATTTTAGTAGGTGTTTTCAATCTGATTAAACTTGAACATTGCGTGCGCTTTGTACTTGAAAGTTTTGTAAGGTTCCACTCAGTTTCAGGCTTCTGCATCTACCAGACCTTGAGGCCCTTGAGACCAAGACCACCGAGTCCCGCTCCTCCGAGTCCAGCTCCTCCGAGTCCAGCTCCACCGAGTCCAGCTCCTCCATATCCAGAACCACCAAGGGCTCCACCCGAGCCTCCCAAACCACCGCCGAGACCTCCGGCTCCACCGTGGTAGCTGATGAAGGGCTTCACGGCCTGAGAAATTTGGGCCACGGGCTGGGCGACGTAGCTGACAACGGGCTTGGCCACCACGCCATAACTGATGATTGGCTGCTTAACAACACCGAGGGTGGCCACTGGGTGCGCTGAAGCGGCACCCAATGCAGTACCTAGGTGAGTGAGGCTACCTCCATAACCAGCACCTCCAAGACCAGCACCTCCGAGGCCAGCACCACCGAGGCCAGCACCACCGGCACCCCCCGAGCCGGCACCGCCACCGAAGCCGGCACCGCCACCGAGGCCGGCACCGCCACCGAGGCCGGCACCACCACCTAGGCCTCCGAGTCCGAGGTAACCGGCCGATGCACAGGCGACAACGGCGGAGAAGACAACAATCTGCATTTAACGCGGGTGAATGGATTAGACCAAACCAAGGCGGTGCTGCAACATCCCGATTCGACGGACTCTTGAACAGCCACGCGTATACACCCGTTACACAACTTTCAACCCTTTTCTGTTAGAAAGCAGTTTTTCTCTATGATGAGTTCACGTTACCCCATTTGTAGACGAAGAGAACAGCCAGCATTCTTGAGAATAATATCCCAGAAGTTAGACAACCGGGTGACAGTACAACTTCGGGTGAGACTACAACTTCAAGTGAGACTATGACTTTGTTGAATGCATTTGTGCTATTCTGTTTTTTATGATGTATATTAGTTACAAACATGATTAATTTCTTGTGATGACAGGCAAGTGCTACTCACAACTAGAACCGGTATTTCTTTTTAGCGCAATAATTTTGCCGAACGCAAATATGTTCAGGTAATTTTTAATGCGTGTTCATTTGATATTTTCATAAATAGTGCGAATGCCAACTGTAAGGTTTTGCAAGGTCAAGCACATTGGTAGGATGATTTTAGCAGACTATGTTGTCAGGCTAGTTGGCTGATGGTTGAAACAGGGCAACAGGACGAAATCTACGTTTCAAGTTACATGAATCAACTCGCTTTTTAAACTCACAGTCGACAAATAAACAAAACGTCTGGGGAAGCGGTACATACGTGGGATCTTTGCTGTTATGTTTGTGTACACTTCGCTCTTCTCGGTCATGCTAGCCTTTTTTCTTCGAGACAGATAAAAAAAACAAAGTAACAACCTAAGCATTAAGTACTGTAATATCGCGTTTATTATTTCAGCAACGCACTGTCTGTTCGAGAAGACATCTCATTGGAAAGTGTACGTCGCTACATTTTGAACCACTGGAATTTTTGATACCAGTGTTACATTAAATCGCTGGTTGTACTGCTCCCCAAACGAGTAGGTCAGAATGATTCGGCTGTACGTACGTACTCCGAAACGCTAAATCTAAAAAAAACTGCGTTCTGTACTTTGGAATCAGCCAGCACACATCGCTCGTTCATATATGCGCAAATATATATGTAAGTATTACAAATATGTGGACCACCAAATTCGAACCACAACGCATTACTGTGTTGATAGACGTGAGCGTATGCCTGATATAATGGCTACGGTAGAGTATGTAGATCAACTGCCTATATACCCTACTGATATCAGACTACTTACTCCAAAACAGTGTCGAAGTCCAGGGCTCTTGCGATTATTTTGTTATGAGAGCATGCCTTTAGACTTGTGCGTCAAGTCATGCTCTTCTCCCACTAAAGGTAAGGGCATGAAGCTTTATAGTTTAATCTTCAATCGGCATACGCAAGATGTAAAGATGAGCGGTGAATACATTGAGTAGGGCATATCAATGTCCCACCAAGCGTGTTTGTCCTTCACGAAGCACAAATTCGCTTGCCGAAACATTGGAACCCTCATCGTGAAACTTATTCATAAATAAAATATTACGTGCAGTACAAATCCAAATGCTACTACGCAAGTGTTACGAAGTGAAACTAAAAAAGGTATCAAGGCAACTGCTTTCATCATTCATGTCGAGAACAAAGCAAATCAACGAAGAGAAACAATAAACAGTGAGGTCACTATAAAATATGCACCGTGTGCATTGAATGCACCATAGACAAGGCAGTTCATCAATTACTAAGCCATTGGGCAAAGATCGCACAGAATCGGTACTCACGAAGGCGTTCATGTTGTTAGGTCCGGGCTCAGGAGTGATCTACGTCTGGCTTAGACAGAGACGGGCACTGCATTTATAGGCTGAGCTGACCAGGGCTTGCCATGCTCAAGGACGACTTGGGCGAAGAGCACCTTTTGCTCTTCGTCATGCACGCCGAGTTGAGGCGAGGGAGAAAGCGAGTGCCCGCTGGCGGCAGCCATTAGACGGTGCAGAAACGCTCTCCGCTTGACGGTGACGCGAAGACTTCTTGTGCTATAGGTGTAGGGCACGTTGATGCCCTCGCTCCGAAATCCCTAGGCGCTGCACCGTGTTCCCTGCCAGCTGCTAAAATTAGGCGCCTTTTTCTTCTAGCCACTACCACCAATACCGAATCCCTGAAAGCTACAATGGCGTATTTAGGCGACTATCAAGCCGGAGAGCCGGAACGCGAACGCAGACTTTTGACTTGGATGCTGTGTTCGGCGCTTTTGTTGCAAGAAGTCAACTGCACTACATTTAAATAACGTGTTCGAGTTTGGCTTAGTACCAACAGAGGCCTTGTAAATGAAATCCGAACAGCGGGAAGCCTTCGTAATGGTATAGTGCGCACCATCAACCTATTAGTACGGACATGCACGCATATGCGCAGAGCAGCCGCACAGGATATCCACGCGCTGGTCGATGGTGATAACTGGGCGACGCGCACTTCACCATCGCGAAGGCCTGCTATTGTACGGGATTTCTTTTGATGCTGATAGTACAATGTAAAGCTCAAGCAATATAGCTATGCTGTGAATTTATTTTCCATTTATGACATGTTGCCGTGCATTTTTTGTTCACGACAACAGAAATGAGTCAATCAATCAAAAATTAATAACTTCATTATTTACTTATTTTAAGCGAGTCAACACAAGTCCTAATGAAAAAGTAGTGAACTATTTTGTTCTCACTTTTATTGTTATAGAAAGGAATTCCTCTTGATTAAGTTGCAAACTTACAGGTGGACCATGAAAACATTATTATGGGAGTCTAACAAGTTCATGAGTACAGTAATAACTCTGTAATGATGGTACGTGTTCTTTTATGTATAGCAGCAATGTAGAAACTTGACATATGGAAGGCAGATTTGATGCACTGAAATGATAAGAAAGCCTTACTAATAATTATATCTGAGGTTTCACGACACAAAAACGCGGCGTGATTGTGAGAGACCTCCATAGTGTAGGAATCTGAAAATTCTGAACATCTGGTGTTCTCTAACGTGCACCGATATTGCATAGTGCACGGGCCTTCACTGATGTGCGACCCTGTGCTCGGGATAGAACCCATGACCTTCTGGTGAGCAGTCGAGCACCGTAGCCACTGTTCCATCGTGGTGGTCGGCAGAAAAGTCTTGTTTATGACAAATATTATTCCTAAGCAATAAGTGGCTAAAGAGGTTTGTCACGCAAATCAATCGAATTTTTTATTGCATTTTTCAAATACTGCAACGAGTAGTAACAGAGAAACAACGGCTTATTTCTTTGTGTTTAAATACAGGGGTTATGTCAACATAGTTAGAAAGTTAGTATGTTATTTTAGTTCTTGTGGTTAGTCCGGTGAACTGTTACTTATCCCCTATTTATGGGAATGCCCGTTGGACGTTGCGTTGCCCTTGGCATCTCGTCGTGGAGATGACGCATTCTGTGGTTCCGTCCAAGGATTATATAGTATAAATAAGTATTCCACAAAAAACCGGGCATTTGCCAGGAGCCTGGTCTCTACCTTGACTCTTCAGCTTTAAGAAATTTACAAGCTGCGCACACGAACATTACTGAAACGCATTAGCGGATGATAGTAGCATGAAATGAGAGCAAGCTGGAGGGAGATTTTTTTTTCCTCGTAGGTCCTAGCTTCTACTCACAGTGCAGTCACGCTACCCACCGTTCTTATCACATTGCGTAAGCGAATCATTATCGATCCTCGACAGGGCTTTACTTGCTGAACATACAGAGAACCGCCTCAAACATCGGATGCGTGAAATCTTTAATGCATCTTGAGAAAGTCCTGGTCTCAGAGGACATTGAAGATCGATGGCTGGCCTCTCTTTTCGCAAGGGATAGTGACCTGAAGCTCGCAGTGGGCGTTGGTCGGCGGATCTCACACAGAGCGTAGAAGGAGGTCGTAAAGGGCTTCCCTTTTTTAGGAGATGTCGTGAGCTCATACCACATAATATCAAATTCTTCAATATTTTTTTTGCATTTCTCTCTTTAGCAACTTGTTCACTGCCCCCTCACCAAGATGTCGAGTGCTGCATAGTGGGCGCCTTCTTGACCATCTAATAAAGCGACAGTCAAGAAGCAAATTTTAGCAATGAACTAAATGGGGAAACTAAGCGAAATACAATAGAAGAATCAAAAGACTACAAAGCAGTGTGCATATAACGGTTGGAAAAAAGAACATGCAACGAAGGGCTTCAAGCTTTAGTAGGCGAACGTAAATAATAGACCGCATTGCCGCACATGGTATAACAATTGAAACAAGAGCATCCACTATTTCAGGAAATTCGATATTGGAGAGCGCTTTCAGCATGCTGGAGAATACACTGGATGATGCTGACGATGATGATGCTAACGAGATCTTACACAGACCATCGGTTCACCTTTCTTTTCTCTACTGTTTCATGTGGAAGACTCGCTCAGACGCATTCCCACATTCAATTTACCGAGATTGCCATGCCTGTGTGCATTTTTCTAGACACTCGACTGACGAAAAGCGGCGTTGTAGAATGGAACACACTGCTTGTATCTAGATTACAAAGACAGGATAGTTTAAGATGCCGCAAGTAAGCATTGTGAAGGCGGCTGGTCGGATTGAAAAGAAATAGTGCCACAATTCAGCTATCGTACGCTCATGCAGAGGGATAAAAAAAGGTAATTGACCAAATCATGCTTGTACTAAAATAAATATACTGGCAAACGCAAACATTCACACATACAAACAAGAAACACCGAGAGTGGTGACTTCTGTAATGAACAAAAGAACTCGGCAGAGTAGAATCAATAGTCTCGAATACTGCATCCGTAACAGTGAAAAAAGTGTCTGCTTGCATACCTAATACACTGACACTTGCATTTTAAATTTGTAGCCACCATGTCGCTTTCAACTGCACTGAAGGTGCATGCAACTAATATTATTCCAGGTTTCTCCAGCACCACTGCGCATGCATATAACAGCGAAAATCCGAAGGCGTTGTTACAATTGGTGAAAGTGGAGTCGAACCACCCAAAGAAAGTTATTTCCTTTGTGTAATTTTTGCAGTCTATTGAACAAGTGTTAGTCTAGTGATTATTATACACAAATCCTCTATGCTACCTTGAGCTGTTTTGCAGTGTTCGTGCTTGGAAGTATGGGTCAAGTATTTAGAATACGAGAGGAGTATGTAGAGGCGGCTTTCTCCCCATTACAGAGCATAGAGCACCTGGATATGACGCAGCAGGTGAAAGCAGCTGGGTACAAACCGTAGAAAAAGTTGAAAAAAAGTGAGGTGGTGGTGTCTGCTGGGATATAAACTTCCATGTAGCCGCAGTAAACATGCTAAGAGTCGCAGGTATCCCCAAGGTCCCCCGGTTTGTGGATACCGAATGCGCACAGGAAGGATCAAGTGGAGAACTTTGTGGGTTGCAGGTGATTCATAATAGCCACAACGAAAAAAAAAAAGAGCGGCAAGGACAAGAGCTAGATTTAGAAAGCTGTAGCGCTTTCCTGCAATGTTCTTTTCCCGTTTTCATCTCCAAGTGTGATTATGAGAGGTAAAGTTGAACAGTTTAGTACAGAAAGTAACGCAAGGCTTGGAAGCGTACTACTTGATAATAAGACTCCACCTAACCCTGTTCCATAATCGGCCGCGTTTTCATTGTAAATAGGTTGCAAAATGAGCAGCAGAAATAGCTTTCATTGCTCTTTCAAAATAAATTAATGAAACATGTCACTGGGCTGCAGTCCATTGAAGATACGTTTGATAATGCACTAATTAAAAATTATCCCCCTAAAAAATGAGCTGCTTGACATTCACAAGTTGAACACTTTTGAACCACTTTAACAACATGCCTGAAAATAAAACAAACGCTCTTTTTTGTGCAATCTGATGCTCGTATAGTGCCTTCTTTATGACGCGTCTAAACATTGTTTAGATTTTGTTCTACAGAATAATTCTTAATTGATGAAAATAATCCACTCCTGTCTTATGGACGTGCGGGAAACGAGGCTGAAAGGGAGCCCGGAGGTCACACGCGCATCGCACCTGTTTCTCAGTAATTGCTGTAAAAGGTCAAAAATTGCTGACAATACAACATAAGGGTGGAGTGAACGTAAATAACGCATTGCTTGAAAAAAACAACGTGTAAAATTCGTGATTCGTTAGTTGTTCCAACATTCAAGGTTGTCCGAATATTTGCAACTCTAACCATATATTCCGCCATGGCTGAATATTTGGAGAAATTTAAATATACAATTTTTAAATTGCATATTCTTCGTACAAGGAAAATATTTGATTTATTTTCAAAATCTCAATTATTCGCACACCGCTGATGATAGTACATAATGACAGACTGACATGATGGCACAAGATGATACTGAAAAGTGTTTTGCCTGCTCTGTACGTTTTGCGCTAAGCCTTTTAAACAAGATAATATGCATGATTCATAACTATATAAGAAAGCTGGGCTTTTTAAACAAGATAGTACGCATGGTACATAACTGTATAAGAAAGCTGAGCCCTTCGAAGAAGCTAACATGCATGGTACATAACTATACAAGAAAGAAATGTAACAAACATCAAATTATTACTAGTATGTTACTTTATCCCATGGTCTTTTTTCTCCCGCAGTATATAGGTGATAAAAAAACAACACAAAGTTTCTAATTTGAAGAAATGAACTACAAGGTTGCCCGATAATTTCAATATATCAGTGCTGTTATTCAATGTATTTTTGTTGTCCACAACTCATGTAACAGAAGAAAGCAAGAGCAACAATTACTCTGGGCCTTTCAATAAAAGTATTGTACCATATATTTGTATAATATTCTACGACATTTTTCTT